CTGTACCGCGGCACCGCTGCACGGTTAGCTTGGAGATGGGGAAACTGTCAACAACATCGGAGAATTCAGCCAACATTGAGGTATTCCAAATACTCTTTATTAAGACACGAACGCGCAGTGAAATGGAGGAACTTTAGAGTTTTATTTTGCCACCATAAGTTTAGCGATGATTATGCCATGGACACCGAGTATTTGCTGGTCCTAGTACTGGGGAAATTAGCGTGTTGGTATGCGCATTGGTGAGCGCCTTTTAATTTCCGACTTCTCCTGCGTCTATATGAGACCGGGTTCGTATGTCACATGCAGCTCGGGCCTACAGTCGGTGATCCGTCGCACGCTGCTGACCCAATTTTTTTGGTTCACAAAGAAAAAATCCTACCTGTGGTTTGGTAGTTCTAGTCACGTGTTTTTTGCTCATCTGACGAACGTCAGAATGCAGCTTGTAGAATCGATGATCGCCGTTCCGTCGTCCGTGCGCGTCCGTTGCGAGCGTCCGTTGTCCCCGTCCGTCCGTTCAACAGTTGGGACCAAATCTTAGAACCGCTTTGACGTATGGGCGTCACCGATATTCGGGACATCGGGGGTAAGTTCCAAAAACGAGTTTGGGATAGTCAAAGCTTTGGGCGGGTCAAAGTGTCAATAAGGTGCAAGAGCGTGTAAAAGAAGGGAACATTCCCCCTTAACTTAAAGCTCACAATGCGCACCAAACTGCTAATCTTACTCCGTACTAGACTAGCAAATACTTCGTGGTATGCATAATCACACTACCTGATGTACAAAATTAAACTCTAGTTCCTCCCATTTCACTGCCACGTTTGTCTTATAAAAGAATTTTTATGAAATACCTCCAATGTTGTTGAAATTCTGCCGATGTTGTTGAACAGTTCCCAATCCCAGCAACCGTTGCAGCGTGCTGCGTTTTACAGCGGTACGGGTTGCAGCAAGATAAAACAGTTGTGACGTCACCGTCACCCACTCGAGGCTATTTTGTTTGCGCAAAACTCAGGTCGGCGTTTGCCGCAGAATGCCAGTTTTCTCACCTGCTGTTTTTGTAGGTTCGCGTTTTAAGCAACGCGCGTGAAATGGAGCAACTAGAGTTTATTTTGTCATAAGCGTAGTGTGATTCAGATGACACGAAGTACCTTGGCTTAGTCTAGTACTAAGAAATTAGCGTTTGGATGCGCATTGTGGAGCCTTTAAGGGTGATTGGCGAGGAAATGCAGAATTGCCGGCACAAGAATCTGAAACGGCTGACCTAGCGTGCTGCTGATAGTCGTGATGTATAGCATCATTGGTAGCGAAAAAAGCCATCACTGTGCCGAAACTTGAGAGGCGTCACGGTGATCAAAGGTCAATGGGCACAGTGGCCAGATTTTAGACATTTTCTGAGGAGCGAATGGTCTGCGGAGCGACTTGAAACAAACTTTTTCTGTCATGCGGTAACCTAGCCTTTTGTTTTTATGGCTTTATTGAAAGGACCATGAAATGTGACTTTCTGCTGACATGCGAAGAGTAAGTGGTCGGATTACCTTTTGTCCCTCAAGAGGCGGTCGTTAAAACATGGATTTCTTTTACTGTTAGAAAGAATTTGACTGCCGGGTTTGCTAGTAGAATCTGTACGCGCTGGATGTATGAGGCTTACAATGTCACTAGTGAAATTTCAAAAGCTAAATTTGGTTGGAAGAAGGTTTATGCTCCTTAAATCGTATAATTTTCTATGGCCATTCTGTACTGTCAGTGTGTTACATGTAACGTTATGCCACTGCCAGTGGCCACTGCCAGTGCATGTTGGTGGTGGTACTGCTTGTAGTTTTTGCCTGCGTTAATTAGTTACCAGGTGGCAGCCTCTCTATTTTAACCTGTAGGCTTACGTAGGTAAATGGATGAGTGCTTACCTATTCTGTCTTGCAAATAGTTGTTGCTGCTACGTACGATGGGAGCTTCCATCTTTAATCTGAAGACACTTAAACGTACGCGCCATCTCGTGGCAACTCTCATAACGATCCCAACGAACATGCCTTTGAGAAGGTTCCTGATACCATCCCTGTGTCTTCCACTGTTTCGGCGTGTATGTGAACACATTTGGGACTAACAGGGTTTACTAGAATCCCACCACTTCACCACAGAGTCACCGCAGTAGACGTTAGATGAGCGCTGTCGCTCCGCGGCACTTGTTATATGAATTAATGTCATTGCGGTTCGGTAAATGAGCGATGCCGCCGGGAAATGGTAGATTCTACGATTGCTCGGCGATCGTGGTTGAGATTTCATCTCACTGTGTGCTTATCGTTCGTCTTGTCCTTTGCTGCTGTGGAATTCTAGCTTTCTGCATGTGGTCGTCAGTGGTCAGCAGACGTGACAGCCGCATCATGGTCGATGTATTCTCAAAGCCCGCTGTAGCGACCACTTCAATGCCTTGACCTGGGTTTTTTTAGACATGAATTAGTTTTCCACTGTTTTGGGAATTTTCGATCGTTCGAACGTCGACATTTATCTTCGACAACGGCTTACTCAGCTCCAAGATAGATGCTAGATGTACAATCGTTTCCGCGACGGCCGCAGTGAACAGAAAGATTAGACCGTTTGACCACGCGCAACCTGGCTGATTTGCCAAGCAACCGTGCTCGGTCATGATAGGGTTGTGTAGCATAGATAGCTTTGTGATCATGAGCTACTGCAACAGTCCAACGAACTCGTCGCTGGTTGTAATGTATGTGGTTTGGCTGTGTGTTTGTAGGTGCGTGTGCGTGTGTGTGTGTGTGTGTGTGTGTGTGTATGCGCGTGCCGGCGAACGCGCGCGCGCGTGCGTGCGTGTGTGGGTGACTCATCTGATAACTTATACAGCCATCGTCGAGTGACAGCTGGCAACAACGTTACGCCGCTTGTATGCATCACTATGTCGTCAAACTTCGCACACATCACATCTTCGGCGGTATGCCTACACGAGCGCGCGCACCGACCCGAGCCCTCACGTCTCTTCTTCCCGTATAGCACGAGTGCTGTTTAACTTTCGCGGTGAAGCCTCGTGTGTAAGATCCATACCTTGGCATTGTGTTCGAGCGTAGAACAGCGTTCTATATGACATGCGAGGCGATACCGCTGACCATATAAGAGCTTCACCAGGAAGAGTATTCGACTGTAGTCGTTTTGTGTGCGGCGCGGGTGGTCGGCCATGGTATCCATAGATGCGATGTACAAATGGGTGGGAGAGAAGGCGGAGACCGTGGAGAAGGCAGTGGAGGTGAGTTAGGGGCGCGGTGGCGGTGCTGCTAGAGTCCACTATGTTGGCGATGTTATACGTCCACCTACTAACACTTACCAATATCGTAATATCGATTTTACTAGCCGGTTACACCTGCCAGACGCTTACAATACAAATAACGATTGCGCGGTTCAATCGACTGTGTAAGCTCTGTATTTTCTGCCCTCGAGCCCAAGTTAGTCTTACCTTTCGCGTGAAATTGCAACGTAATTTCAATACCCCGTGGCAATTGTTGTCAATTTCTGTTGGGCGTGGAAAACGAATACGGGTAATTTGCGGTCTTGCATGCTGCACGAAGCCAGCGCAGCTAGGTGAACAGGAGGTATAAACAGTGATGCGCGGAGCATGGGACGTCTCCCATTTATTATGCTAGACACTGTGTGAATCTCATACCGAGTTGGCAGAGCGAGAGTAACACCGTAAAATGCAGTAGAAGTCACTACGCTGTCGAACAACAATTAACATCTAGAAGTACATGTGCAGGGAGCCTTTTACACACAATCGAAGACCTTTGCAACAGACCACGTACGCCTTCGCCGACGATTTTGCTCATGTCAATCACCGCATTGCTAATCGATCATTTTTGATTCGCAGTTTTTTTTTTGAAAAACCGATATTCGAAAAATAAAAATCAGCCTGTCCAGCCTGTCTAGAAGTACATGTGCAGGGAGCCCCCTGAGTTGCACACATGCTTCCCTACTTGAGGACGACCTTCCATTTTTTGTAATAAGTGTGATCGCAATAAGCTACGAACCATCGATTGGACGTGTGCAGAAATCAAGCGCTTAGTTCCACGCAAACGACTTGCAAACAAAATTTTGTGAAAAAATTAACTGAAGCGAAAACTTAAATCGCGTGTGGCCTCATCGCCACACAGACACAGCGGAAGCAGGATTTAAAAAAATTACCTGAACCTGCAATTTTTGCAATTTTGTACCGGAATTTTTGACCAGTGCGAACAAATTCGCTCCCCATCTCGTTATAGATACACCTAATATAAAACGCCTGTTGGTTAATTGTCTCGTGACACTCAAACGAAGACCTTTGCAACAGACCACGCCTTTGCCGCCAATTTTGCTCATGTCAATCCCCGCATTGCTAATCGATCATTTTTAATTTACAGTTTTTTTTTAAATACCGATATTCGAAAAATAAAAATCAGCCTGTCCAGCCGAGCGACGCTTGATCGTACGTCGACTTTCTGCTTTCTCCAGCACTTGCGACACACGACCAGCCTCGCGGATACCACGGGCAAGATGAAGAATCAGATCTGGTCGAGCGTAGTGACGATTGTGCTCGTCGAGGGTAAGAACCTGCTACCGATGGACGCCAACGGCCTGTCTGACCCCTACGTGAAGTTCCGCCTGAGCAACGAGAAGTACAAGAGTAAGGTAAATGCGAAAAGTACAAGAGTAAGGTACATGCTAGAAGTACAAGATTAAAGTAAATGCGAAAAGTACAAGAGTAAGGTGAATGTGAAAAGTACAAGAGTTGAAGAGTAAGGTACATACAAGAAATACAAGAGTTGAAGAGTAAGGTACATACAAGAAATACAAGAGTATGGTACATGCGAAAAGTAAAAAAGTAAGGTACATGCCAGAAGTACAAGATTAAGGTAAATGCGAGGTAAATCGGGCTATTGCTTTGGGGGGGGGGGTTGAGTCGAATTTGAGTCGGGATCTGTTGGTAGCAGTGCTGTGTTCGTTTGTCGCTTCTCACGTCTGAGTTACCCACAATGAGTTCATTTAGGAATTCAGATCATTCAGTCATTGAGATACCTGGATGTAAACGTTATACAGCACCATGGTTAAATGCTGTAGATAACTCTTGCATAACATAGATAGAAAGCTTGTGTAAACCCGGCGGGGACGCTATAGGCATTACTGAAAAGATGTGCTAAGATTTACTGACAGTAACTCTATCAACCAGCAGTAGGAAGATGCTGCGATATTCGTGGCGTTGCGTTGCAGATGACGTCATCGCCTGTTAAGCTTGCTCACTCGATCTTTTACATTCCATGAATTCGTTCATCGAATTAATTTGGTTATGAGAAAAATTATTAAAGGGTGCTTATACTAAGTTCGCATGTATGTATGCGTAGGTCTGTGCGCGCATGACTGTCTAACGTCAGGGTGACTATTATTCTTCTATATGTGCCTGTTGAAAAATTTAGTTTATATAAAAAAAACTTCTTGCCCATCAGGTGGCCTTCAAGACTTTGAATCCAAACTGGTTGGAGCAGTTTGATTTGCATATGTTTGACGATCAGAGTAAGCAGTTGGAAATGACCATCTGGGATAAAGATATTCGCAGTAAAGATGATTTTATGGGTCGGTAAGTAAATATTAAAACGCATTTTTATGGAAGGTTTGATGAAATATTCAGGAAGTGGTAAAACCGCAATGGTGTGTTTTGCATTTTAATAAGAATAATGAATAATGCAGACGCGTTTGCATATATGCGTCCCTGCGTGCGTGCCTGCGCACGTGCGTACCTGTGCATGCTCGCGTGCGTGCCTGCGTGCGTTCAACGTACGTAAATTTAGGAAAGAATGTAGTGTAGTCAAATTTCGTTGCTACAAAGATAAACACTTGTTGTTAATGAAAGTTTTAAGGTTGAAAAGTGACACTAAGAATTTTAGCAACTTGGAATTGCCAAATATGAAGCCAATTTGCATGATTCGAAAGTCACACATTTTCTAGTTCTATCGATTTTTTCGACGTTGTGTAATGTTTTGTAATACGTGTATGAGTTTCGCGCGACGCCTACCGTTAGCCCACCTATATCACCTAACCCCGCTGTTACAATGACTTCTCGCAGATGTACGATCGACCTTGCGCAACTGCCGCGAGAGAGGACGCACGCAATCTGGCAGGACCTGGAGGATGGAGCCGGCAGCATCCATCTGCTTCTGACCATCAGCGGAACGGTCGGCACGGAAACCATCTCGGATCTCGCAAACTACGAACCCCTGCCCGCCGAGCGGCAGGCCATCATGAGACGATATGTAAGCATACTGATTACGCGCACGCAGTACGTAAAGCGTAGAGTGCCGTCACGAGACACTCTGTCCCTGTTGCGTTATTTTATCAGGATATCACGTTCACGGAAAATTGTCTGATGCAGTCGCAGCGTCATTAAGAACGCCCGACCGATGCATGACACAACCCGTCCACCATGCAGCAAAGATTTATTTAATTGCATCCTATGCAGGCAATCCACAAGGCATTTAAAAGGATGAGGGACGTCGGCCATCTCACGGTGAAGGTGTTCAAGGCAAGAGACTTAGCTGCCGCCGACCTGGGAGGCAAGTAATCCTACAGCGGCTTAACAAATCGCTCTTTAAAATTGTCGTCTGTCTCAAAGTCTATGGCTTGCGGGAAAATTTAGCGTGTGTGAGTGCTTTCTGAAATGCATCGTCCTTGATTAGTAGTCATGCTCATCACGACAAAAGGTTGGATAAGGCTGCACTAAGTAGATTTTATTTGAAGCTAGGAAAGGTATTGGTAAAGTTACATAAGAGGTTTGCTTGCTGAAAATTGCATTAAATAGTGAAATAATAATGTTTATTATTAATTTTAAACATTTGAACCGATGCTAATTGCTGGTGAAATAATTGTGTCGAAAATTGGCTCATTTCTATTCTTTTCGTTATTCTCGCAATCCGTAAAAAGGAAGCGCGTGATCACACGTAACGTTACACATTTGATTATCTAATTTATCGGCTCGTGTGTTTTCGTGGTTAAGTAGACACACGTTGTTCACTCGATGACAGTGCAGTAACACACCGTAACATAAAATACCATGCGTGATGTGATGTGATGGAACAGCGACGCGGGATGCGATTCCAGCATTTTGCACTCTCGCACGCAGGTAAGAGCGACCCGTTCTGTGTACTGGAACTTGTGAACGCCCGGTTGCAGACCCACACCGAGTACAAGACGCTAACGCCAGAGTGGAATAAGATCTTCACTTTGTAAGCGTGTTGCCGTGTGTGCGAGCATGCGTGCGTACTGTGTGTGTGCGTGGTTGTGTGCGTGTGTGTGCGTGCGCGTTTGTGTTTGTGCGTGCGTGCATGCTTATATGCGTTCGTGCATGCTTATATGCGTTCGTGCATGCTTATATGCGTTCGTGCGTGCGTGCGTGCTTGTTAGTCTGTGTGTGCGTGTTTGTTTGTGTTTGTGCATGCGTGCATGCTTATGTGTGTGCGTGAGTGTTTGTGGGCGTGCGTGCATGAGTGTCTGTGTGTGTCAATTCTGTGCATGGTGAACGTTGCCGCACCAGTGCAATAGCTCCAGTTCACCTACTACTCGCTTATGTTTGTCGAGGCTATACTCCAGGTGAACGTCAGTGACTTATCAGTTAACAATTACAATTACATATTATGCATTCGCGATCAAATATTCTTGTTGGCGTTTCTTGTTGGCGTTTGGCTGATGCAATTCAATTGATTTTGTCAACAAATTACACCGATGTTGTTGCACAGGTTTCCTCATGTGCAATCTCTGCGCTCCCAAGTCTGCCTCTACTGGACTAGTCACGTGTGTTTCGTTCTTCCCGCGGTTTTTCAGCAATGTCAAAGATATTCACTCGGTGCTTGAGGTCACGGTGTATGACGAGGATCGAAACAAGACTGTGGAATTCTTGGGAAAAGTCGCCATTCCTCTCCTACAAGTGAGACATTGCAAAATATATCCCATAACGTGTGGCTATATGTATGTGGTTACGCTCACTTCACGTCCAAGTGCTGTGGTTCAAGCAAACATGGCAGTGTTTAACGTGGTAGAGAATTGTAGTGGTTTCGTGCGTGAATGGGGTGTTACTGCCGTCATTGGCTGTAAGTGGATAGTACAGTTATACTCAATGTAGAGAGCATAAATGTATAAACGATGTCCTGCAGATGCTTTTTATTGTTTATTTTAAACAATGGCCCCTAAATCATGCCGCACAAACGTTATGGTTGGGCAGGAAACTAATATGAGACATTATGGTCTCAAAAACGTGTTATATCCTATGTGTAAATGAGCTGATGAAAATGTACTTTTCTTCTCTCCTATTAGATAAACAATGGCGAGCGTAAATGGTATGCGCTGAAGGACAAGAAAATGACGAGGAGAGTAAAGGGCGAGATTCTCTTAGAGATGGACTTTGTCTTTAACCCGGTATGTATGAATGTAGGGATGATTGAGCATGCAATACACATACATAGCTGCTGTTCCTTCCTCATCTATCTACCCATCTCTCTTTTACGTAATGGCGACACCTATGGCAGCCTTCTACTCCCGCCTGTTCTTCGTTAGTCTTTCATGATTTCCTAAATGTGACCAAACCTTTATCATTCCTGCAACAACAGGTCAGTCCTATGAAAGTTTTTTATTTATATCACATGTAATACTGGTACGTACGTCTTCACTCGCATATAGTTCGTTTCAAAGTTTACTAAAAGATTCAAAATCATTAAAAAAGTGTGAATGTGGAATGTAATTTGTTAACTAACACCAACGTCACCGAATTTTAAGCGTATAATTGAAATTGAAATTATTAAGTTGCGTAACTGCAAGGTGGGAGCTCGTATGTGGGTGTTTATATCGTTTGCTTTATCAATGTTAGGTGACAATCGAGTCTCCCAATTCTGTAGCATTCTTTTATATTTTCTATATTATAAAAATACATTATTAATACGCACACACGCATACATTCATGTACGCACGCACGCACTCTCACGCTTCAAGTGCCTGTGATCTATAGTACTGGTTAAACGCAATCTTTCCCATATATTAGTTTCAAGCACTTGCGCGTTTCGATGCGCATTTTATAGTGGATGCATAATTCAGAATTTACGATGAACTGTATAGGTGTATAGCAGATCGGCAAGGCCTTGCATCCTCCGATTTGCATGAAAATTCTAAGACCTGAAAGATACGCAGCCCACTTCTATCTTTTTTAGATAGCAGCTCGTAGTTAGTAGTAACTATAGTATTACTCGAGGCATAGTAGTCGCGCGATACGCAGTTCATCCCCCTTAAAAAACTACGAGGAGAACATACTTGCCTCTCACGTCGTCTGAATGTCATTTTTTTCCTCGCGTAAATTACAGGCCAAGGGAAATCAAACTCTATCTCACTGAGCCAGGCAAGGATCTATACATGGGCTTTCTCATCCTCAATGTGCATCTCGTCCCTAAAACTCAGGAAGACCGCGAGCAGGTATGTACGTCTTACACGCAACCAGGAACACGCGCGCGCACACGCACGTACACAGACGCACCCCATCCACCCACCCACACACGCACGTACACACACGCACCCCCTCCACCCACCCACACACGCAGCCGCGCACATACACCCCCCCCCCCCACACACACACATGCAGACACACGTACACACACGCCCCATCTACTCACACACATACATGCGCGCGCACACACACACGCGCACACAAAGGCGCGCACACGCACACGCACTCGAACACGCTCACGTATGCAAATGCACTCCCACGCACCTCTGCACGCGTATACGTACACACACATACGCACGCAAGCATCCAAGCACGCGCACGCATCCCCCATGCATACACGGGCACGCGCGCACGCTCACAAACGCACAGTCACACACGCGCGTACGCACGCACGCACTCACGCGCCCTCACACAAACATGCTCTTGTATTAATTTTGTCTAACACTCTTCCAAGATATAACATACTTGCGACATGTCGCGAACCTAATGAAGCTTGTGTGTATTGAATATCTAACTGGTGTTTAATATACATTATTTATGTGCGCGCGGTAGTATTGGCGGTGGCCAATCGTGTTATACACGTAGCCATTACATATTGCAAGAGAACTAGTTTGCCTTGACACCGGACCTTCTAGTCCTAACTGTGAATAACTCGTAATTTTTATGCATAAGCAGCGCAATAAAGTATCGAAGGTGCGTATATGTGTGTGCGTGCGTAGGCTTGCAATGTCCCACTGTATGACCTCTATATACCCACTTGTTTTTCGTAACCATATGACTTGAAAACTAATGTCGGACCTTCGTTATTTTTATCTTTTTTTTTTTCGTTATTGTTGCCATAGCAAACGCACTCTTATTTTTATAGTGGTTTTTTTCGTTATTGTTGCCATAGCAAACGCACTCTTATTTTTAGCTCACCTTGACATCGTCAAGCTGAGCTATTGCCATGGGTCGTCGTACGTCCGTCCGTCCGTCCGTCAACATTTGGCTACGGTCAACGATAACTCAGGAACCGTTTGACCCACATGTTTAAAATTGGGTATAGTTGTTACTGTTATGCTCCCATATAATATTAAACGTCCTATTTTGGAGCACGCCAGTCGACGTACTTTCGAGCCACGGCAATTTTTTGGCAAAAATGGGAATTGCCATTAGTCAGTTCAGGTTCAACGGATTTTGCTCATTTTTGGTATGTGAATAAATAATGGCCAGGGGTTTTGATATTAAGATTTTTTTATGCAAATTAGGTAGGGTTTGGCAATTATATAGCATATCATATAGACACGCAGATAACAAACAGTCTGTGGTGTCACACTTGTCTGGTTCGTTTTACAAGATTTTATTGACAATATCTTTATGATTATTACTATTATTATTATATTATTATTATGATATAATGATTTATGCTAAGAAACATCAAAGCTGGTGTAGCGCCATCTACCGTCACAAATTGTGATTCATTTTGGTTTATAAATTATTTATAATTTATCTCTCTCTTCCTCACTCTCTCTCTTTCCCTCTCCTTCTCACTCGCTCTCGACATCGATCCAGGTGAAGGCCAGTGTGCGAACCTTCAATCCAAAGGAGGAGAAGTACATGTCGCAGGAGCCCAAGTTCAAGAAGAAGGTGTTCATGACGAACGTTGCGCGCGTGCGACAGTTCGTGCTCACCTTCCTGCATGCCGGCCGCTTCATACAGAGCTGCTTCCAGTGGGAGTCCGTCCCTCGGAGCCTCACGGCCTTCCTTGTGAGTACCGCCGACCGTCGGCTAAACCTTTGTGATTTCTTCTGAGTCAGCCTGTCTCTCCTGATTGATAGCTAATTTCTCATGATGGTTTGGTGGTTAGCATGTGGTATACACATTCACGTATCTTGTCGAGGGATGCGAGTTCGATTCCCTGTCGGCGCCATGAATGTTCTCTGTGTGCGTAAAACTGGCTCTTTACATTGGCGACCATCTCTGGTCATGTGAACGAACAGAATCAAGGATGACGTGAGACACTATAGAACTGAGCACACCCTCAGTTTCATTGACAGAATCTTTGGTAAGATGAAGGCAGTGAGAATATAAAAAGAAAGGGAGTCCGTCGCTTACTGCATTAAGAGATTGACTGGAGGCAGTATATCTTGGAGAGATTGACTGTATCATGTCGGTGGAGTCGCTGGTACAATAACACGGTTAATTCGAGCTCTCTCTCTCCTTCTCTGTGCTGGTGTCACGATTTGAATAATTGCACGCAGATGGTACTAGAGCTAGTCGGAATATAAAGCATAAACAGTTTTGATCCTCGTAATGATGCATTATAAATTCAGTCATTCCTAATAGCCTGTCTAATGGATGCTTATTCAGTATAGGCGTTCATTAAAGCAGCAAGCTTTTATTATCAGCTAATGCTTTGTCAAAGATGGCTTTATAATTTGACTGGGCTTAGAACTTGCGCGCAAAGACTCGCTTCTAAGTAAGTGCTTAGAAGTCGACCATCGCTCTTTCGACAGTTTTTATACCGGCCTTTGCCAAGGCATACAGATAACGAAAATGGCTAAACTAACACTGCCTATGAATCCTGGGAAATTCATGTATGTTCTTGCTTATTTCTGCAAAAACACGAGTCACTCTCAGTGCCCGAATGTTATGCGTGAACGTGTTGTGCGTTGACGGCGTGTGGATGATTTCTTTTCGTTCTTCATTGCAGGTGTTTGTAGTCATAGTGTACAACTTTGAGCTCTACATGCTACCCGTGGCCTTACTGCTGGTGTTTCTACGCAACTACTTAGTGCTTCCATCTGTGAAGGAACAGCAACGCTATCTGGAGGGCCAGATGGTGCCGCAGACAGCTGGCGATGACGACGAGAGTGATGATGACAAGGACAAGGTGATACTTATAGCCCTGTCACACCTTGACGATTTAGCCAGCATATGCCGACCTTAAAAAAATTTCTCTAAACCGCTGGCATACGCTGAACTATCGATGTTTTTTTCAATTTTGGGCGTATACATAGCGTATTCATAACGAGTTGGACGTATACATAACGTATTAGTAACTTATATAGAACGTTTCGATAACTTATAGATAACTTATACCAACGAATGCTTAGCGTGTTGCCGGCGTTCACAACTTATGCCCAACGATAGTCTAACTTATGCATAGCGCGCGGCAGCGTATCGCCGACGATCACGTGTCGTAGCCTATAAAAAGGCTGCCGCTCGACGATTCAAATCATAACCGCACTAGACATCGCAGTATCAACATCACCGTTGCAGTATCAACATGCCAATACCATTTTTAGCTCATCTGACATAGTCAGATGCAGCTTGTAGAATCGCTTGATCGTCCGTCCGTCCGTCCGTCCGTCCGGTCGTCCGGTCGTCCGTCAACAGTTGGGCACAAATCTTAACCGCTCGACGTACGGTCACGATATTCGGGTCGTTGGGGGGATCGTCAAAACGAGTTGGGATGTCGAAGCTGGGGGTCAAAGGTCAAAGGTCAAGAGGTGTAAAAAAAGGGGGAACATTCACTCCTTAACTTAAGGTATAGGGAGGAAATGCAGAATTGCGGCACAAATCTAAACGGCTCGACCTAGGCTCGTGATAGTCGGTGTATAGCATCATGGTAGGAAAAGCCATCACTGTGCCGAAATTGGAGGTCACAGGTCAAAGGTCAATGGGCACAGGGCAGATTTTAGACATTTTCTGAGGACATGGTCTGACGGAGCGATTGAAAAACTTTTTTGTTTCAGCGGTGACCTACCATTTTTATGGCTTTATTGAAAGGACCATGAAATATGCTTTCCACTGACGTGCGAAGAGTAAGTGTCTGATAACCTTTTGACCCTCAAGAGGAGGGATTTAAACATGGATTTGTTAACTGTTACTGTGTTAGAAAGAATTTGACTGCTGGGTTTGCTAGTAGAATCTATACATGCCTGGATGTATGAGGCTACAATGTCACAGTGAAATTTCAAAAGCTAAATTTGGTTAAAGAAGGTGTATGTTCCTTAAATCGTATAATTTCTATGTCATTCTGTACTGTCAGTATGTTACATGTAACGTATGCCACTGCCAGTGGCTGCTGCCAGTGCATGTGTTGGGGCAGTTTTTGCCTGCGTTAATTGGTTGCAGGTGGCAGCTCTCTATTGCAATTTGCAGCCTGTAGGCTTGCGTAGGTAAATGGATGAGTGCTTACCTATTCTGTCTTGCAAATAGTTGTTGCTACTACGAATGATGGGAGCTTCCATCTTTAATCTGAAGACACTTAAACGTACGCGCCATCTCGTGGCAACTTTCATAACGATCCCAACGAACATTCTTTTGAGAAGGTTCCTGATACCATCCCTGTGCACTGTTTCGGCACGTATGTGACCACATTTGGGACTAACAGGGTTTACTAGAATCCCACCACTCCACCACAGAGTCACCGCAGTAGACGTTAGATGAGCGCTGTCGCTATGCGGCACTTGTTATATACCAATTTCCCTAAACGCTGCCAATACGCCATTATACGGTAGCTGTATGTTAGAAACACGTTCAGTAAGTTCTGTGGTCGTCCGGAACACGTCAAATACGTCTACATACGTCAATATGTGTTAGAGATGAGTTACACATAGGTTAGAAATAAGTTTTGGGTACGCTAGACATTATCTCGACTTATGAGTAACTTACAAGTAACGTGTGTCAACGTGTGTCAACGATCCAATAACATACCTACAACTTATGGCCCGCATATGCGGGACGTATGGGCATACGCTGGAATACGGCGGAAAATTTTGAGCCTGCTCAAAATTTTTCGACGACCTCGCTGTACTACGACGTATACTAGCGTGCTTCAGCGTGCTTCAGCGTGCTTCAGCAGGCTCTTAACTTATACAAAGCTTACCCATAACTTATTCGACGTATGCCAGCGTATTCACCAAATTTTTCATACGTCGGTACCCGCTGGCTTTCATACGGAGGTGTGACAGCGCCATTAGAGCGGCGGCAGCTCGTGAGAATTCCTGTAGAAGCGCGACGTTTATAGATGAAAGCCTGAAACCTTTATTCAGTGTATCTTTAACGTTCGGTGTGCATGATGTGAATTCTTATATATATATACAGAGTTTATTGGCTTCACCTAACTTTCTTGATCGTGATGCATTTACATTGTTTATGTTTTTGCTGTACTTAACTGATGTAAATGAATAGTTCTGTTACACTTTGTAATAACATCAGCATCTATTTCTGATATATATGTTTATATATCTAGTGGATAACTGCATGAACCTTCTCTGTTTGCAGTTGCATGTATATGATAAGGTGATTACATTCTTACCTAAATTTTATCAACATTTCAACTAATGGTATTGTGCAAAAAACATCATTTGATAAATAATATAAATATCATTGGTAAAAGCGGTGGGTTGTTGGTGAGCAAGGAAGCAAGCCCATTCCTAGCGATGACATAAATAATGCCAGTAAATTTAGATCATCTTAGAAAAGTAAGATGAGCATAAAACCGAGCATGGCATGCATAGCCAACTTTGTGAATGTAAGAGAGAAAAAACGCTCTTCTCTCTAGATAATAAACATGAAATGGAAGTAGGAATATATTCAATATATGCACGTGTGACATATATTTGTTCTTATCACGTACTACATGATAAAAGGTCAAAGTATTACATCCAACCCAGTTTCATCTAAACCCCGTTAAAGAGTGATCTAACCCTAATTTAAGTACATACGAATTTCTCTACATTTTCTCGTGATTGCATGTTTCAAGTGTTGTTCTTGATTTTGCAACGCATTTCTGTTAAATCTTTCTCGTGTGAACATCATATTTCATTCAGTTTGTGCTTGCATTTCAGGCACTATCATTTCTCGACTTTTCTTACTTGGACATGTTTGATTTTGTCGTCTATGACACAGTCGAATTAATAGAAATGGTGACCGTCGGGTGCAATCCCGAGAAGCGCATATTGCTCGAGGTGATATTACAGGATTCGATTTCTTCTCTGTACCCAGGTGGCAAAAAGTGTAACTATAACAGCGCACTGTCCATAGTTGTAGCATCTAGCTTTAGATCTCTTTAGTACATGAGACTCTGACTAGACTCTGAGACTAATCTTTGTAGTGTTCGTGCACTAACATCACGCGCAGTAAGAAAGGGACTAGAAAGGGATACAGTCGAGTAATAATGACACCTTTTAATTTTGACCTTTAATCTTTCAACCCTTTAAGGTTGAATACATACATGTGCAAGAGGATCCACTGACATCTGGCCACTACGTGTGGTCCTCAGTACTTTTCAAGTTTGATAAGAGTCGGTGGCCACGGGTTTAAACGCAACCCTTAGGTGCCCACATTTAGGAAATGTTCTTCGTGGTTTAGGCTTGCATACTCGACATCTTGCTCTCTTGTAGCTGGTTGATTGAATCTAAGAGTGTAATGTTAGCGATGATTGATTTTAACGGTGGGTAAAAAGGAATTTTCTTAGCAAGAGGGGCACATAGAGACGTCGGACGACTATAGGTGGGCACTTGGGATTCTGAAGAGCCATCGGTAAATATTTGAAGGTTGTAGTATCACTGCGTCACGACCGTCATGGCCATCGTGGGTGCAGGCCTACCCAAATCATCGGAAGTGTTTCACTGGAATCACCTGCTTTGGCAGTATAACCTGGTTACTGGATAGCGCAGCATAGGTGTATAGTCTGTTTATCACTAACTGTTCTTCTTGATAACATGTGGTGGTGGGTGGAATTTGGTATATATAACGCGTGTGTGCATTATATATAGAGCGATTTGTACGGTTATCATGTTTTTCGTGTACCGTACCGTTTAACCACAGACTAATGAATACATTATTTGTTTGCATGACTGACACTTTATTACTGTAAATACTAAACTGTATTTATCAATTATTCACTATCGGCTATAGTAATGTCAGTAATATTTCCCGCGCTATAGTCGTGTTGCGCAAACTGCCTTTTGCACTTGCGTTTTTACTGATACTGCCATCGTTGGTAACTGCCCCATACCGTGAATGTTTTGTTGAATAGAGTACCCTAGCTTGTAATGGATTTTAACGTCATATAATTCCGTGTAATCATTGGCCTCCGTCCGGTGACAGGGTCGTTAGATGACTTGATTTTCGTCTGATAAACTCGATTGGCAGTTGAAAGCATCGTAGACGCGCAGGGGACTGGTATTTCAGCGTCATATTTAGCAGATTTCAGTCTAGCAGTACAAAGCCTGGTGATCGATAGCATGTGCAAATTTCAGATACGTCTACGATTTTGATCAGAAAACTCGGATTATTACGTGAACGTAAAAAAGGGCGAGGTTAAAGTAACTCTGTTATGCCTTTTTTTTTCACGCTTGCTTGTCCGTTGTTTTGACGCCAGGAAGAGCGAAAGAGCTTCAAGGAGCGTCTTCAGGCAGTACAGGACGTGTGCCTGACTGTACAGAATGCTCTGGGCTACATCGCTTCGCATGGAGAAAGTGTAAAAAAGTTGGTATCTCTCGCACTATTTAGCGGTGCAGTGGCGGTATAGTTTTCATACGGCTAGATTCAACCACGATATATTGGTCGAGTACTTTTGCAATGGTTAATTTGGCTTCGTCTCGTATGTGCACACACAGAGTGCACTGCGCTAGACTATAGAATGTGGAATTAAAATTTTAGTGTTCACGTTAATAGTAATTTTATATGTGTAGATTGAAATGCGAGAGTTGCCATTTATGGACTGCAGATTGTGTGTTCAAACAAGCACCGTGGCATTGACCCACAACGTTATTTTTCATGCACGCAGTGACGCAGGAGTATCGCATTCTGATCAAACTTTTTCTTTGCAGCACATTCAATTTTACCTCACCATTCCTGTCCTACCTGTTGATCTGTGTGCTGTGTGTGGGAACAGTGGTGCTCTACTTCATACCATTACGCTGGATCATCATGGCCTGGGGTGAGTCAGAGAGATGTAATAACGAGGTGGTTGTTATTACAATATGGTTTTGATAGCTACGTTTAATTGTAATAATTACCATAAGCTGTTTGTACATATGTAAGTGCTCTATAAGTTGTGTTCCTTCACCGATGACAATATTAGAATTTTCTAAAATAGCCACTAGATGGCAGAAATAATCAGTACAAGCAGAGCGCGTATATACGTATATCATATACGTGCTCTGGTACAAGTCAGAGCCATAAGTAGAGGTGTTTTACAACAGTATAGGGCGTCTATAGACAGCAAGCATGGATAAGCATAACACAAAAATTAATCAAAAATACTCGGAGTATGTCAGCACATACTAGTACTCAACACATACTTTATTTATGCTATGTAACCACAAATTCATTATCCAGACTTCGCTCGAAACTTTTGCTAGTTAAATGATGCACGTTTTCAACGTAATTTGATCCTGTTTCACACACAAAAACGGCAGACTGGTCAACATCGCTACGCCGCTTGACGGAATGGCACAATTACACGACAAGTCAAATGTTACTTTTCATTCATGCTTTCTAGAGTCAGATGGCATCTGCTCCCCTCCCCCAAAAAACTGAATAAAGGTACACAGTCTTATTTAAATGTATTTCTGTCTCTATGAGAAAAGTAAAAAAAATTTACACGTACATACATAATATAATCCTTATTAAATTATGCATATACATGTAACCATTCATCATTAATGCACAGATGTTTATTCAAGAATTAGTTATCATGATTGTGTCATCGTTGACCTCGACCTCTCTTCAGTCAAATCATTTAACTTGGGATCTTGCGAGATTTTCTTTTTGATAAGGCTGACAAAGAGGTACTTTCAAATCATTTTACTCGGATTAATGCTACATACTTTTACGCTAATTCGTTCCAGACATCCCTTGATCGAATAGCGTGCAAATAAAATGGGCCATTACCTCCGGTGTAAATTCCAATGTCCCTTGTAAGACTATTCGCAGCACCATCCTCCTTAACGAAATCTGTGAGGGAGAGAAATTGTTTGTTACACAGCCACAGTGCCAAACGCTCTAAAACATTGCAATTGTTAGTTGGTTATTTTGTCTCCTGATCGAATCGTAATTGACAGAAAGCTAGTGTTGCGTGCCTCCTTTAGCAACTAGCGGATCAGTCTGCAATTAGTACAACAATGATTGGCCGAACTCTTATCTATGTTTCTGGCGCAAATTAGAATGAGTTTCTGATCATTTCTTTCTATGTAATAAAGGTTAATACATGCACAATATAGTTCTTTGTTTTAAATATGCAACATTTTTACATGATTAAGTAACTAGATACGTAGACAGTGTTGCATTTTAACCAAGATTTGTTACATTTAACTTGCTAACACTAAAGACTAAAGTCAAGCCACAGCTGTATATATCACTACTTGATACTACTCTATGGATGCTATTATTGGAAATGACTGAATATATGTAGATTGTTCCCAGAGTGGCTCAACCGATATAGGTCCTACATATTCATGCATAGATATGTTCATGATACTACTCCTACGCTATTATAGATACTTGCGCTTTGCTTGTTCTAAAAATTGTTGAATTTTCCAGGTGTTTCCTGGCGTATGTTAATTTAGACATCATTTCCAGGTATTAATAAGTTCACCAAACAACTACGATCGCCAAACGCCATTCCAAACAATGAACTATTGGACTACTTGTCTAGAGTTCCAGATGATCAGGAGGTGGTGAGTGTCAAACAACAACAGCACCATATATTATTAACAGGAGTCTATCAATAGACTCCTGTTAATAATAGCCTGTTAATATAGCAAATAATAATATTAATTTATTATGCAACCAACAACATTATATGTGATCGTTTTTTTGCCTCTATAGGCATCAATATTGATGCTATATGCACAAATTTGGTATCAAAATGTGCAGGAAGACATGACACACTCAATAAAATAGCTAAAAAAAATTAAGCTTAAAAAACAACTTATATTGGATAGAAACAAGAAACTGTTTAAATTAAATGCTACAAATTCACTTCGGTTTCATCGATAAAGTGGGGCAAATACATTGTCTTGTCTTCCTGCACATTTTGATACCAAATTTTAGCATAATAGCATCAATATTGACGCCTATAGAGGCAAAAAACCTGTTTTATCAAATTGGCTCTCTGCGTCGACATCTGCACCTATGTAAATTCGATTCTCGGAGTGATGTCCAATGATCTCGGATTCACAACCATGATTTTCTAACTCCCCAGACATCACCCTTGAAAAAAAAAGGTTATGTTTTGTTCTAAGATGGGGAGAGGTACTACTACTACTAGACCCAAAAGCGACCTCCACCACTAGCCTAAATGACTATTGATAGACTCCTGATATTATTAATTACACTGTGGCTATATGCCCGGCAGTCGGGCACGGTCTTTGATTTCCTAAATGCCCGGCAGTTCCTAACCCTAACCCTAACCCTAACCCTAACACTAACCCTAACTCTTGTTTACTTGAGATAACGCTGAAAATTAAAAACTGCCGGGCATTTAGGAAATCGAAGACCGTGCCCGTCAGCCGTCAGATATATGTCGGCTGCCGGCCATATAACCACCCTGTATTAATTATTACTCTGATACTGCTTTTGTGCTGCTGATGATGTGTGTACATCACGTCTACCTGTAAATTAGCTTTGGAACATTGTTTGCCAACCTGGCAAGTACTATATGCATCTACCAACGCACTCTAGCATGGTTGCCCTGTGTTCTTTTCCAGATGATGTATGCCCAGCTCACTCCTGAACCTCATTCACCCTTGCTGGCAAAGAAGAAGAAGAGCCAGTGAAAGAAGTAGTGCTGCCATCTACTGAGCAAAAGTTGGTTATCCAAACGCAATGGTTACTATTCGAGTCGCCCCTATGCTGGTGTTCTTTCAGCCGCAGAATTGCCCAGTTGTTTGCTGCCACGCCAACTCTTTAGTTAAGCACAGGGAGTCGTTAATGGTAGTGCCTCCTCGCTTCTTCGATCGTGTGAATTGCCCGTATCATGGTACACTACAACGCATGTTGTGGTTTAGGGTAGGAACAGCCTGTCTGCGGAAAAGCGACATGCCGCGACAAGCAACAGAAGGGTTGTTCCCCACTAACGATTTGGATTCCTGGTAAATGGTTCGGAAAGTAACTCGCAATTCGTTCCAAGTTTCCAGGTTTTCGTGCCAATGCATATGCTTTTGCAGCAAAGTGCAGCCCCATACAAACCTCGTATGCGTATGCTATATAATGTTTTTGACAACTGCTATTTTGTTGTCGTAAGGTGGTAGGGAACATCTATCTATTGCTCTCAACTTCAATGATCATGATGCTTTGTGGAAGCAGGCTTTTACGCCTCTTTCGCAATATATTATAAGGGGACTTGATGCATCGGTCTCGATATTGTTGCTAACAGTTATCACTTGCGGTTGCAAGAATATACATTGGTTGACACGTGTGACAATTCATCATTGTAGTTAGTGTGGCCGTTTATATCTGGGTTTACTACACACTTGTTTTGATACGGGGAGAAGGGGGTATCAAGAATCCGGTTCGATCCGCAGCAGATAAAAGCGCGCAAATAAATGTTAGATTATTTATAGTCGGGAGTGTCCGCTTCGAAATCCGCACCTGCCACGCAGCAGGGGAGTGTCCTGCTTTTTCTGGGCTTAATAACATATGGTCATGAGTGAATAATAATAGATTCCTTTGATATTAGATATTATTGTATCTATGTTATTAATAGACTCTATTAGTATTCACTCCTGATATGGTCATGCTGTCAGCTGCTTATACCGCGCTTTCGGGCCGAGTATTGTTTTACAAAACTGTGATCTACGTGTACCTGAGTAAGTTCGCATGTCTCTTTATTATGTTATCCCGTGCTATGGTCATCAGCTTTTTGTCTTAAAAGGCTGTTTGCTAGTTGTGATAAGTGCCTGCGCGAATTAAATAATGAATTCGGGCCCGTTGACTATCTTCTTCTAATGTTGAGTTCAATCACCGCAGTGCAGGGTTGATAATGAGAGTAGTTATTGTGGCATGAAGGCGACCGGAAGAACATGTAATATACAAGTCATTTCTCTGCGTATGTTTTGATCTACTGATGTAATATACAGCCATGATTATAGCAATTGCGCAAAATATCCGGCAGCGTGTTACAGTCATTCCAGGTAGCAAATCGCCAATCATATCTTGCATCAGCGTTTGCGGGTGTATGAGCATGTCAAACAGCAGTGTCAGTGGATGTCCAGACCGCTTTCCCAGTTTTAACTCTACACTCTCGAGGTATTTATGTATCGCAAAGAACAGTATCTGCTGGAGTGTAGGCATGTCCTGTGTTTGATGTATCTAATGCAGTTCGAACGAAGTCGCTGCCGATGTCCAAACTACGTGTCCACTTTTATTTGTATACGCTAGATTTTTTATGTATTACAGATTATAATAGTGTGTGAATTGTTGAGAAGCAGATTAATTTTTGATTAATTTCACCAAAGTATTTTGTGGAATCTACATTCCTCTATGGACAAATTTATAGAGTGATCCTAGGGCGTTGCTTAAGAGTAGAGGCTTTCATTTATGATTTTAGATTGTATACGGAATCGATGCAAATATGTAGGAGCGCGAGTTACTTTGATTTTATGGTTTTCCAATATTTCCTTCTGTATTACATAATGTTATGAAAATAGGTCTGTGATTTCCTGGGGATCTATGAGCTCATTTTAGTGTAAAACGTAGTTATCTGTCAAAATATATCGTGTTTGTGTGTGAGAGTGCGTGCGTGCGTGCGTGCGTGCGTGCGTGCGTGAATTTGCATTTAGTGGTGATAGGATGGTATATATGGTAAGTTCATTAATATTGTTAGAAATTGCTAGGCAATTTATTTGGTTTCTTATGGTTCGCCGATTTTATTGTTATCGTTCTCTAACATATATTAAACCTTATATACTTGTAATATGGTTTGCTAAGGACTGAAATGTGTAAGGGCAATCTATGCCGTTCTTTTTCCCAATCTGGCGTCTCGTGTGCACGAAATTTGATGCGTTAATTAAGCTAAAAAGACTGTAGTTCTGAGCAATAAGTGCACGCAGTGTGTAATGTAAATAGTACGTATTCATGGATGGGATCAAAGGTACTATGTGATTATAGTTATTTGTGGCAAGGTTAGAGTATGTATATATTAAAAGCGTTGAGTTGCGTTTAACTAACACGTTATGCATTCCACACGATTTATAAGCCCAAAAAGGAGGTAAGAATCGGCATTCCTTGTTAACGTTCAAAACATAGCCATTTTCATATATATATATATATATATATATATATATATATATATATATATATATATATATATATATACATATATATATTGTACCATTCCTATCGGTTTTGTGATAGTGTTGGTGTGGGATTCGTTACTAGCGACAATGTATACATGAGTTTCAGTGGTGGCAAAGCTGGCTGTCTGGTACATAAAGTAATGCTTAAGCCTCCGCATCTACGTGATGTGATTAGTGTCATTACAACCTTGCTAGGTGTACTGTTTGCAAATCAACCCGATTAATTTAAACGCGCTTCGTCAATGGCGGCCGTGGCGTCACACGTTAATACAGGTAGTAATGAATGTGCTTTACTGTTATAAACTCATATTCATATTTTGCAGTGGCAATTACTATGCAGTGCAAATATATCCTAATTTACCCGAGAACAGCACCAACAAGCTCAAGCGCTGTTGCCCTTACCAATTAAAACGTGTGAACAGCTCCTATTCTAGTTCAGACAACCGGCCGCGAAATATTGTAAGGAACCAGGTAGAATATTTATTAAATTATCTTGCGAATGGTCATTGTGCCCATATATACATTACATCAAGAGCTAATAATATCTTATTAGGTTAGCTCTTGATTAAGGTATTATTAGCTCTTGATTACATGGTTTTATGTTGTTATTGGCTTTTTCCTATGAAACTTGTGGGGGCATATATTCCTGTCATACTCAGTAATACTCAGATTAATAAAAAGCGTCATGTGTCCGGCACGAGCAACATTGTATATGCTGTTTACATAACAGGAATTATATGAAATAGTGCATGATAATGGTTAATTTGACCTATACTGCGCATTATTCATTATTCTTATTATTAGAATCCATAAATTCTTGGTTCTAATAACAGCTGTTATATTAACCGTAATAACAGTTTGTTGATATTGTATGCGGTTGTAACTAGTAGGATGGGTTTGCACTCTGTGATTTTTCGTGGGGGAATCCGTGGTCGGTTATGTTAAGATTTGAAGAATAACATTATCTTATAGTGGGGCAAAGTAACGATCAAGTGTTTCACTGCGTTTACATGTCCTCATGATCTGTCTGCTTGGTGTCTTCGTGATTTTAGGCATTGCAGGATCGTATATGTAGTTTACGAAACTTGCGTTACGAAAGTGGTCGTACTGCGTACGGCGTGCTTTGCCTGGTGAGGAATAACTTCACTATGTTTTATGCAAAAGTTCGTGTAGGTGTATGTGTCTGCGTATGCGAGTGAGTGATTGTGCGGGCGTGCGTGCCCGGGTGGACGCGCGTTAATTCATAACGTGTGGATTTGTTTTTGCGGCGCTTAACTGCTGCATGGCATATTGTAGTTTTAACTTTGAAAGTATACTAAATGTAATTATATATTTTTTCAACGAGAGTCATTAGAAGCTATCATGTAGAGCTTAAACGCGTCTGCGCCGGCGAGCGGACGGGTTCCGTTTACAAATTTTTGCGAGGAAAACTGCGCGCTGTGCACCATTTGGCCAGCGTGCTTTATATCGCCTGTTCTGCGGAATGATGGCGAGACCAAGCTGTTATACACGCGGCAGCTTCTGTCGTAAAATTGAATTATTGCACAATAGCCGGACAATCAATGTACGTGAATGCGGGAGCGATGCGTGAAATGCGTACATTTTCAGTGTTGATCTCTGCTGTATAAAGGCAACCACGGTCGCTGTAGACACCAGCACTAGGCTTACTACTTGTTAGATATCCTTATTGTATTATTTGTGATTTCGCGCGTTGTATTTTACTGCATAATAGCGAAACTTCTACTTGACAATTTTACAAACTAAAACTACAAGTGTCGGTGTCATTTTTCACAGTAGTTTTCGTGTTTTGTGTGTGAAGTCACGTGTCTGACTGGTTGGTTTACAGACAATCCTACACGTCACGTATTAATAAGGTGGATAAGCACATGGATTGTACACTTTTGTGTAGAATTATGAAACTTTGAACACCTGCACTACATGAGGTGCTAAAGATTCTCTGATTGTGCCAACTGAACACCACTACCTGGTGGCTTACAGCGACCCCTTGTGGCGAAGATCGCCCTTGGCTGTTGATCAGTAGTACGTTATACCACTTTTCCGGTTTTGGCTATAACTTTAAAGGTGCAATAAAATTAGGTGGAAACAATGAAATAGGTAAAAATAATGGAGAGTTTTCTTCCACTAGGATATTAAGTGACCGCCGGCACGTCAAAAATTCGTGTAGTCTGCATGAGCATGCTATATGTCGAACTGCTCCTTATTAACAGGTACAGTCTCAGTATTAATACTAATAAATTGCTGCGTGTGTGCGTGTGTGTGCGCGCGCGCGCGCGTGTGTGTGTGTGTGTGTGTGTGTGTGTGCGTGCGTGCGTGCGTGCGTCGGTGTCTGGGTGTGTCTATTTTTTTTAATTTCATTTAATTTCTATCTATGGGTCTTAACTTTCATTTAGAGATAGAGAGATTCTAGCAGGAGAACGCACCTAAAACAAGGCGGCGCCACTATACACCCGCTAACACAACATCCAGCGTGTCGTGTCTTGTGTCGTGTGTGCGCGCTAGTGTATGTCCACAGATATTATATGTATACACTAGATAGGACACTCACTACAATCGGCCACAGATTAACGAACACGGACTGTATAACCTGCTTGCTACGCGGTTCGATGGTGCTGCCCCTGGCGAATAGAGCGGTAAACTCAAATTGTCATCAGCTCTGAGTTATGTTAGTTACTGCACTGCAGTGACGTATAAACTGTTTTTCGTTAACATTCTTGCTTAAGCTTACAGTTCTAATATATCTACTGTACTATATATATATATATATCGGCCGATACCAATGTTCCTTCTTCTTTCTATGGATTCTCATCGTCTTCCAGGTCGCGCGTTCCATCTCCTTCTGGAATGCTTTCTACATTTTTTCTTCTGACGTCTCCCCGCCTCGACTCTCCACGTCACCCATGACGCATGTACTCACCTATGAGCGCAACGCTAGGTCAGCTCATACGGTCCATACGGCAGAGGTGGCGCATTCCATCTCCTTCTGGAATGCTTTCTACATCTCTTCTTCTGACGTATTCCCGCTTCTACTCTATCTCGCATATTATTTATATATATATTTATATATATTTATATATATATACATATTATTTATATATATATTTATATATATGGCATATATATATATATACATATATATAGCGTAATATGCTCTTTCGTGCTGTCTCTGTGGCTACATACTCGTGACCGCCTCGTGCATGCCATCTCCACTATACCTGCTCTCCACTGAGACGAATACCTATATCTAGCGACGGCGTCTACTTTATTATTATAATAACAATGGCGTACAACTAGCATCTGGCCAACCATGTAACAATAGGCGCGTTCACACGGACGTTTTTGGCCCGAGTCTAATTAGGCCCGCGCCAGATTTGGCTCGAGCCGAGCGTTCACACGGACGATTTTGGCCCGAGCCTAATTAGGCCCGTGCCAGATATGGTCCCATCGAAAACGTCGGACCAGGCCCGAGCCAAATTTTAGCACCAGCTTTCGGCGAGCGTTAGAGCGGTAGATGCCGCGAGTGTCGTACGTGTACTTCGACGAAATAAAGTCCAAAACAGTATAAAAATTCGAAAAATTTGATCAAGATGCACGTTTTAAAGATGATAATTAAACTCGGAACGTAAGTAAACACTCTGAATCGTAAACAACGCCATCTCGCGACATACTGCCAAAGTATCTGTGAGATATTTGTGCAATAAAATTTATTTGAATTTGAATTTGAATTTGACAGACAGTATTTACTTGCGTACGTGTGAACGCTCCGACTCAAACCGGCCCGAGCCAAATCTAGCCCATTTGGCTCGAGCCAAATCTAGCCCATTTGGCTCGAGCCAAACCATGACCGTGTGAACGCGACTAATGCGTCCGGTTTATTGAGGCGCGCCAGCGCTAGTTACCTTACAATAATCCTTCCTTCTCTCTTGAAATACATTCGTGTCCTCACGAAAATATAGTTATACAGTTATACCTAGTATTTCCAAGGGTTGCTAACATCAACAGTGCTATAATACCGTGTTTACCAATTGTGCATTGTGGTGCTATTTTAAACCGACGTCAAATTTCACTCCTGATAATAATTATATAATAACAAGTGCCGCGGAGCGACAGCGCTCATCTAACGTCTACTGCGGTGACTCTGTGGTGGAGTGGTGGGATTCTAGTAAACCCTGTGAGTCCCAAATGTGTTCACATACACGCCGAAACAGTGGAATGCACAGGGATGGTATCAGGAACCTTCTCAAAGGAATGTTCGTTGGGAATCGTAATTAAGTTGACACAAGAGATGGCGCGTACGTTTAAGTGTCTTCAGATTAAAGATGGAAAGCTCCCTGTACGTAGTAAGCAAAACTATTGCAACGACAGGAATACGTAGTCACTCATCTTTACCTACGCAAGCCTACAGGCTGCAATGAGAGCTGCCAACCCTGTAACAATGACGCAGGCAAAAACTACACAGCTACGCCACCACAGTGCATGGCATGGCATGGCGTGGCATACGTTTACATGTAAATACTGAAGCTTACAGATGCCAGAGAATTATAACGATTTAAGGAGCATAAACCTTTTCACACAAATTTTTACTGTTTGCAAATTTCAC